TTCTAAGGCGCAGATCGGGACTTCGAAACAACAAGAAGGGCTCGCAGGAACAGAGCAGCGACTTCGAACCCGGCGACGAATCGGGCGAAGGCGAAGCTTCTGACATGGAAGCCTCAAAGAATGCTGATGTCGGTGGCGATGCTGAATCCACCCCAACTCCTCGCGGGCGCGGCTCTCGCGCCCAGAGCCGAAGGAGCCGCCGCAACCAGCAGGATTCTGGCGACGAAGAAGCCGAGCTTGACAAAGACGAGATGGCAGAAGAGCTCGAAGAGCTCCGGGAGAGCTCCAGGTCACGCCCCCGCCCACGTCGCGCTCGCCGCCGATCCCCGTCAATCCAGTATGAGGAACGGACTTCCAAGAAACGCCGCACAAAGCCAGTCGACTACAGCATTCCGGCAATCGACCCTGCCGCGCTCGAAATCGACGATGACGACGAACCGACTGCAACACCCGCAAGGAACCGTAGAGCCGGGAAAGGTGCCAGCAACCAGGTTTGGGAACGCACCCTCAACACGACGTATGGCCCGTTCGGCGGCGGCGGCGGAGCTGGCGCGCTTTTTAACGGCCCCTGGGGTACCGGGGCGACGGGTGGCGTGGACTCGGACACCAGCGACGACGAGATGGTACAGCGGTCTGGGATCGGCGGCACTATGGGCATGACACCCACCACAGCCGCACCGCCTGTCGGTCTGTTCAACTCAGCCGCCCAGACTCATAACGCCGATGGGGCCGGGGGCATCGGAGGGGCCACGCCGCAGGTCGGCAAGGTCAAAAACCAAAAGGCGTTGGCCGATGCCGATCCCCTCGGGGTGGACCTGACCGTCGACTTCAGCAAGGTCGGAGGCCTGCAGGGCCACATTGACCAGCTCAAGGAGATGGTTCAGCTCCCGCTTCTCTATCCGGAGCTGTTCCTTAGGTTCCACGTCACGCCTCCTCGAGGTGTCCTGTTCCATGGCCCGCCCGGCACGGGTAAAACTCTCCTTGCCAGAGCCTTGGCGAACTCGGTCGGTTCTGGCGGCCGCAAGATCAGCTTTTACATGCGCAAGGGAGCCGATGCTCTGAGCAAGTGGGTTGGTGAGGCTGAAAAGCAGCTGCGTTTGCTGTTTGAGGAAGCCCGGAGGACACAACCCAGCATCATTTTCTTTGATGAGATTGATGGTCTCGCGCCTGTGCGGTCAAGCAAACAAGAGCAGATTCACGCCAGCATTGTCTCGACCTTGTTGGCGCTGATGGATGGCATGGATGGCCGCGGCCAAGTCATTGTCATTGGAGCAACAAACCGTCCGGACAACATTGACCCTGCGCTTCGTCGGCCCGGGCGCTTCGATAGGGAGTTCTACTTCCCTCTGCCCGACCTGGAGGCGCGCCGGTCCATCATCGACATTCACACCAAGGACTGGGGTATCTCGGATGAATTCAAGAATGGCCTTGCCGAGAACACCAAGGGCTATGGAGGCGCTGATCTCCGGGCACTTTCCACCGAAGCTGCGCTCAACGCGATCCAGAGGACATACCCGCAAATCTACAGCTCGAAAGAGAAGCTGATCGTGGATCCCGACAAAATCACTATCCACGCCACAGATTTCATGCTCTCGGTCAAGAAAATGGTTCCTTCATCCGAGCGGTCAACCTCATCGTCGGCTTCTCCGCTGCCGCGTATTGTTGAGCCACTGTTGAGGAACCAATACAGGGCCATCCTCAGGGTGCTTGATAATATCCTCCCGCGCCCCAAGAAGACCACGGCTCTCCAGGAAGCCATGTACGAGCCCTTCGAGGATGCGGACCACGGCTTTGGTAGGGAGGCGATGCACCAGGAGTTTGAGCGCTCGCGCATCTTCCGGCCCCGTCTGCTTATCTCAGGTGTCCCTGGGATGGGCCAGAGCTATCTGTCGGCGGCTATCATGCACCATTTAGAAGGTGTCCATGTGCAGACGATGGACCTGGCTGCTTTGCTGGGTGATGGACGGGTAAGCAATCTCTTGAGTTCTAATTACGTGGGCCGCGCTAACTGGTTGTATAGCCCATGGAGCAGGTGATTGTGAGTCGGTTCATTGAAGTGAAGCGGCACAAGCCAAGCGTCATCTTCATCCCGAGTGTCGATATCTGGTGGAGCAGCATCACCGACGCGGCCATCACCACCTTCACCACCTTGCTACGGAGTATACCGCCTTCTGATCCCGTTCTTCTTCTGGCGACAGCGGACTGCACGCCTGAGCTGTTGGCGCCCGAGATTCTCAAGGAGCTGTTTGGCTTCTCCAAGAAGAACCGGGCCGTTGTTGAGCGCCCTGAGCGGGTACGTCACGAAATATCTTTTTGGGCATGAATGAGACGAGCTAACATACAGCAGAACAACCGCCTCGAGTTTTTCGAGAATATCATTGGCCATTTAAGGAAATCTCCGACCGATTTCCCAGATCCTGTAAATCGCAAGAAGCGAGTCATCGAGGAGCTCCCAGTTGCCCCTCCGCCGCCGCCCAGGACCTTGACCAAGGAAGAGATCAAGGCTCAGCGCAAGGCTGACCTGCACCATCTGAACTTGTTGAAAATGCGTCTGCAGCCGATCATGGACCAGATTCACCGCAAGTACCGGAAATTCAGGCAACCCGTGATCCCATTTACGCAGATCGCCTATCTCTTCGACGAAGCCGACCCCAACTTCGTCCGGCCCGATCTCGTCCAAGAACAGAGCCGGCCTTACGAGATCGCGAAGGACAAGGAAGGCACAGACGGCATTCGGGAGACGGCCACGGGCAAGTTCTTCTACAACTTGGAGTCGACCACGATCGAGGAGCGCTTGGCGAACGGCTACTATGCCCGGCCGATTGATTTCTACAGGGATATCAACAGGTTGTACCTCGATGCGAAGAACATCGGTGATCGGGACAGGACGCTCAAGGCGAATGAGCTCCGAACCAACGTCGAGGTCGATGTGCACGACATTGGGCAGACCCTTGCCAACCAGGGCATCAGGTTTGACGATATTTACCAGAGGCAGCTTCAGAGGGCTACGGAGGCCGAAGAGAAGGCTCGTAAGAGGAAGGCGCTGCAGCCGGTGGTCGACCTGATCCAGTCCGATATTCCGGGCGACGGCGATAGCGATTCGCAAGGACCGGTTGGTATCGGGCTTCCCTTGACACGGGATATGCGGACAACAACCGCAGCGAGGTTCTTGCCGATCATGAGTCCCGAGTCTAATGGACACGCGGGCACGACAGACTCGCACCGCTTGACAAACGGCTCGTCGGTTCCATCTCGGCCGGACGGTGAGGACACCCACATGAGTGGGCTGGATGATGAGAGTCAGCTCATGTCTAGTACTCAACCTGACCTTGTCTCGGGCATGCAGTGGCCCCATATACGGGGTCGCCCGCCGCTCGGAGACTCTACCAGGGCAACCGCCGGAACACAGTACTCACAACGCTCGGTGGTGACGTCGATTCCTCCCGGTGTGTCTCCGTCTGACATCTTGAATGAGGCGTCAACGACCAAGACGTCAGAACTGTCCACCAACCGTGGCTCTCTCAACTGGAGCACGCAGCGCACCGACACGCAGCGCACCGACACGCAGCGCACCAACGGCATGGCACACAACCCAGACGAGACGTCGCTGCTCCTCGACACCCAGACGAACACCCAAGAGCTAGACCAACACCACAGCGGCCATTCCATCAGTTTGAGCCAGTCCAGCTCGAGCGGCAAAGACTGGGCACACTCGCAAGCAGCCGCCATGGCCAAAGGCATCCTCCAGCCGCGGATGGGAATGGGTATGTCGATGGGTCCACCCCCCGCCAGCGGCTCTGCTTCGGTCCGAATCTCCGAAGACATCCCCTCCTCCTCCCAGCGCCCGCCGCACAAGGCCTCGTCTGCCAGCCTGGGCAACATCCTCAACGAGGACAACAGCAACAATAACAACAGCAGCAGCAACCACACTGCTGCCAGCGGCAGCGGCAGTAGCGGTCCTGGCGCCCACACCCCGGGCTCCGGTCCTAATTCTGGTTCCGGCGCAGGTACTAGTAGTAGCAGCGCCGCCGGCAAGGGGCCCAACTCGGCCCGCACCACCTCTCTCCGCCAATCGGGCTCCACCACGTCGTCGCAACAGCCCGTCATCCACGAGGGCAGCAACTACGATTTTCTGCAGATGCTGGCCGACCGCACGTCGGGCTGCAGCGTCGAGCAGCTGGAGCAGATCTACCGGGAGCTGATGGACGAGATCTGGAAGACGAGGCACGAGTGGAACCGCATGACGGTGCTGAACACGCTCATCTCGGTGTTTAACGATACGATTGGGGATATCGAGCTTGTGCAGGGGACGCTGGTGGATAGTCAGAAGCAGCAGAAGGAGAAGGGGGATGATGGGGAGGGTGAAGGTGGCGAGGTGTTGGAGACTGTGGAGGGGGTGGCTGGGGAGGTGGGGGCTAGTCTGAGCCAGAATCAGAGTCAGGGGAATGGACATGGGCATGGGCATGGACATGGGCATGCCGGTGGGGAGGCGTGGGTTTATTTGAGGTCGCTGTGATGGGAAAAGGGGCGACGGGCAAAATAGTGCGTCACGCTGTGGGTGTTTAGTTCACAAGGGTCCTTGTGTTTCTCTCTCATAGTACTTTTTTGTTATGGGTCGTGGGAAAGGGAGGCTCGTTGGTACTAGTAGACTGCGTTTTGACTTTTGGGTTTCCTGATAATCGCTCGTGTTTGAGTTTGCGCTTGTTGGAGGCAGAGCCTTTGAGTGTTGCATACCCTACACCCCTTATTACTTTGGTTGAATACAGCATCGTCTTGGTCAATGGGTGCGATCCGATGCGATCTGAATATGGTGGTGGAGTGAGCAACCTGATTCCATCTGGGAGATGATTTCAAATGTTTTGAGAGGGTTTGACGGGTATGTACGACCGAGAAAAAGACCTCGCCCTGAAAGGCTCGCTACCTTGCACAGAACAGAACCCCACAGCCAATAAGGAGGGGAAAAAAAGAGAGAAAAAAAAAGACAGAGAGAGAGAGCAAAGGCCTGATTAGCATAGTGGCTAATGCGTTGCACTTGTATCCCACCTCCCCCCCGAGGTCCTATTTGACGACATGCAAAGATCACAGGTTCGAGTCCTGTATTAGGCAACTTCACTTTGGTCCTTCTGCCTTACTTCTCCTAGGGAGGAAGGGTTGCTTTTTGCTGATTTGTAGACGAAACGACTCAGTTCCCCAGGCAGGCTTATGTGGTCGGCGATGGGTCAACTGGTCCGCTGATGATACCAACCAAGCACAGAGGTGATTATGCTTGGAGGATGGCTTTTCTCATTCAGAAAAGCAACATGTCTAGCATATCTAGAAAACACCACTTACACACTATCACCGCATCAATGATATTGTTCCGTGTAAATGACAGTCTTGCTTTTGATAACTACCTAACTAAACCTCTCTACTTTTCCCACGCCAAACTCCAATTCCAGTACAACAAGGAAAAATAAACAGAAACCAAGTCTATGTGCGATCCCCCCCCCCTAGGAATTAACCTCGGCAAACCAAGTCCTCAACAGCGCCGCCAGCGCCCCCGGCAAATCGTCCAAATGGTGCACAATCAGATAATACGGAAACGGAAACGAGTCCAGATAGCGGTGAATGACCGGCACGCCGTCGGGCCCAAAGCGCGCCTCTTTCAGCTCCAGCACGCTGTGGCCCTTCTTGTTCTCGCGCGCATCGTCCATGACGATAAACACCACCATGACGCGCTGCTCCATGGCCTCTCTCAACAGCGGCCGCAGCCGCGCGTGGTCTCGGCTCTGGACGAGCCCGTCCGAGAGGATCAGCGCAAGCTGCCAGAGATCCTCCCCGCCGGGCGCCGAGGCCTGCATGAGCCTCGCGTCGCGGAAGTGGTCGATCGTCTTGCGCAGCAAGCCCACCATGTCGGTGCCTTCCTGGTTGAAGGTGAACTTTTGCAGCACGCGCGCGCCCGTGTCCTGCGACGTGAAGGACGGGTCGGTCAGGGCGTGCGCGACAAAGACGTCGGTGCCGAAGCCCAGCACACCGACCTGCCCGGCCTCGAGGACCGTCAGGGCGCGCGCGACCATGACGAGGGATTCCAGGGCCAGGCGGCCGGATGAGGAGCGGTTGTCGTCCGACATGGAGGAGCTGTCGTCGACGCAGAGGAGGATCTGGTAGGCGCGCTTGGAGGGGATGGCGCGGCGCATCCAGATCTTGTCGCGCTTGTAGCTCGAGGCGATGTAGGGGATGATCTTCTTGATGTTGAGGCGCTTGCCAGTGCGGAAGGAGCCCGAGAGCTTGGTGGATTGGGTTGGTGCGAGGATGAGTCGGAGCTGGGATGAGAGGGACTGTGAGAGGGCCTGTGTCTTGGTTTGGAAGGCTGACCACATGTCGAGGGCTTCCGAGTAGTCGCGGACAGGCTTCTCGTCTTGCTCGGTGATGTGTGTGGCCAAGAGTTGCGTGGATGTCTCCTGAATCTGCTCGTCGTCGACATCCTCTGGGGCTTCGGCCCGGGGCGTTTCATCCTTGTCCTCCGTCTCGTAGGCGCCCTTGCGTGTAGCGACGCCAGACCGGCCATCCTCATTCTTGGGGGCATCCTGTGGCTCAGTGGGTTCGATATCATCCATCTCCACGTCTCCCTGGTCGTCCTCTTCTTGGTCGTCCTCAGGTAGGATCTGGTTGTTCCCCTCATCCATCTCAGTGTCAACCGCCATCGCATCGTCCATGGGGCGGGCCTCCTCGTTGGTGGCAGTTCCCAGGGCCTGGGCATCTGCCTCGGCCGTGTCATCCTGAAGATGCTGGAACTCGGCCCGCGCCATATCCTCAGCTGACTTCTCGGTCTTTTCTTGGCTCTCCGAAGCAGCCTGGATATCGCGCTGGTTACGATACCATCGGTCCAATGCGTCTCCGAGTTTCTTGAACGGCTGGGCGTCATTTGAGTCCGCATCTTCGGCCTCGTCAGAGGGCCCTTGCTCTTGATCCATACTCGAGAGGGCGCCCTTATCGCCAGGAGCCTTGTCCTCGTCGGCCGATTGCTTGCCAAGGGCGCCTTGCTCTCTTTGACCAGCTTTGTTCTCGACTTCATCGTCTTGCATGCTGGCGTCCTGGGCTTGGCCGCCTCCGTTCTGGACATCGCTGGGTGCGACATCGTCCTGGTCGGCGCCTGTGCCGTCATCAGGCAGTGGCGGCTTCTTCTCGTCCTTCTCTTCATCTTGACCCTCCTCGTCTCCTTCTTCCTCCATATCCACATCCATCTCCTCCTCCCTATCACCAGCAGCGTCAATATCCTCCTCCTCTTCCGCCTCCTCCTCCGGAATGTTCTCGTCTTTTTGATGCTCCTCCTCGAGCTTCTCATCTTCATCCCCGCTCTGAGACATATCCTCCGGCACATCAGCCTGTTTCTCCTCGGGCTTCTCGGCATCAGACAGCCCGTCCAAGTCGTCATCATCCTCCCCATCCTCCCCCTCCCCGTCATCGATTTCGATATCCATATCCTCCGGCAATGCCAGAGTCTCATTCTCCTCGACGTTCTGATCCTGCCGGTTCAGCTCCTCCTGCGGCATGCCCTCCTCTTCTTGCCCAGCCTCGATCTCCGCATCCTCATCCCCCTGCTCCTCGCCAACCTCATCCGGCGGCGCATTCCCATCATCCTGCTCATCTCCCTTCTTCTGCTCCTTCTGCTCTCCCTCGGCAGCAGCACTCTGATCCTCATCCTTCTTCCCCTTCTCCTGATCCCCCAGCTGATCCTTCTCCGCCTCGTCCTCGCCACTCCCATCCCACATCTTCTCATCCACCGCCGTCGGATCAAGATCGTCCACATCACCGGCCTGCTCATCCACCTCATCCTCTTCTTCGTCGTCCCCGTCTTTATCACCATCCTTCTTCTCCTCATCCTCATCCTCACCCGCAACACTCCCCAGCTCACCCTCCATATCGTCCTCGCCCATATCGACGGCGTCCTCGTTCTCCTCAATGTCACCCTGGGTCTTGTTGTTCGGATCCTGCGCGAGCTCCGACAGGTCCTCGTCGGGCTTGATGTCCTTGCTGATATCGTCTGCGCCCTCGCCGTCGCCGAGACCGGTGCCGCTCTCGACGTTGCCGGACTCGCCGGCTTTTTCGTCGCTCTTTTCTTGCGGGGTGCAGTAGCCTTGGGAAGAGATCTGGACGAAGGAGGAGGCGAGTTGGTGGCCTAGTCGGCAGGTCGCGCGGTGGAGGCCGGAGAATTGGGTGAGATTTTGGGTGCAGATGGCGGAGTACTGTGAGAGGACCGGGTGGATGAGCCGGAGGAGGGCGGAGGCGGTGGAGGTTTGGTCGGCGGGGAGGGACTTGAGTTGGTGGATGAGGGACTCGACTTCCGAGGTGATCTTGGTCATGCGGAGAGCGTCGATGGAGCCTTGGAGGTTGTCGTTGTAGTTGAGGAACCAGCCGGCGTCTTCTGTTGTCAAGGGCAGCGACTGCGCAGCTTTCTGGAAGTTCTGCAGCGCGACCAGGATCTTGCTTGAGAGCGTCAACGCTGCCGCGGCGAAGTTGTTGATATCGTCATTGACGATACCGTTGACGACCTCGGTCGCCTGAATGCTGGTCCACAGTTGGATTTGTTGCACAACGAACGCCAGGTCCGGCCTAGCTTCGACAACCTCCTTGAGGCCGGCCCGGAGGGCGTCCACTTCCCGCTCCACGTCATCCTGGAGTGTGTCGCCACCGGTCGAGGTGAAGCCGTTAGGGAGACGAGGTAGGCCATAATGCGCAGCATCGAGTTTCGCAAACGTCTCAACCCATCCTTCAAGCCTGCGTCGAACCTCTGCATTATTTGCACCGCCAAGCTTGCCATGGACCTCGACGAGATGAACAGCAAACTTGAGGATCTGCACCAGCCAGCGGACCACCTGGTTGTGATTTGCCAACTGTGCCTGCGGCTTGAGCGATTCACCCCCAGCCGAGAGGACCTTGACAGAGTCAACAGCCCCATTGAGACCCCGCTCACCTCCAGCAGCCCGGGCCAAGAACTGACGCTGGTGGAACATGGCATGCAACACGCCCTCCAAGTACCCGATACTCCTATGCACCACCTCGCGATTCAAGTCCTCCGAGTGGTCCAACGCGGCATGACGGAACTTCGGTGCGAGGTCGAGCGTCTTGTGGTAGAAGTACTCAATCGCACTCAGCGCGGCACTATCGTGATGGGGCACAACCCCTGAGCCGACAAGGACCACGGCGGTCGAGCTCTGTCGCTCGAGAAGGTTGGTGCCTAGGTTGCGGCTGAAGCCCATGGCGCGGAGGGTCTTGAGGGTGTCGCTGTAGAGGGTGACCTTGCGGGTCTTGAGGTGGCGGACGGCGTCCTTGTTTTCGTCGGTCAGCGTGCCGGGTGTTTCTTTTCTCAAGGACGAGATGGACGAGACGAGGTCGGTGATGTAGCTGTCGAGCGTCTCGGCAGCGTTGATCGTGGCGGTAGGCAGAGATCCGTGCTTTGCCATGGCCTTGAGGACGGCAGGGAGGTTCGACATTCTGGCCCAGTGCGGGTGGCTTGAGATGTCCGGGAGTACTTGCTGACAGAGAGTGATCGCGCCCCGATCAACTTGAGCCTCAATGGGTGCTATACCGCTTCCCAGAGCCACGCTGGTCGAGTGGTCCTCTTCGGGAATCCCCTGGTCCGCGATGGCCTGAACAGGCCGCTCTAACACGGCGCGGAACTTGCGCACAAGCTTAAAAAGCTTCTGGTGTGACTTGCTTGCACTCGCCCTGAGCCCTTCAATATTTGTGTCCCTCCACTTCGACATCAATAAGACGTCCTTCATGCTCCTGTCCAGTGGCACCCTCCCAGCCTTGATTGTCTCGTTGACCTTGGGCTCGTACCGGCTGTAGAAGGTGATGAAGTTTTGAACGGCATCGCCAACCAGGCCGAGAGCAGGCTCATCCAGCACAAGCTGATCCAACTGATTCTTGAGTTGCTTGAGAAGATCCAGACGGGCAACGAATTGCCCAACACTTGCGCCCGTAAAGTACGACTCCAGGATCCCCAACAGCTTGACAGTATGGCCCTTGAGATCCAGACCCTGCTGCAGGATAGAGCACGGTTCGAGAATCACAGCGCCATAGGCGATGAACCACCACGATTTGGCATCATCGTGCTTCTTCTT